TCGATTTGTATAATAATGGATTCATTACATTTTGAACTTGAAGCCAATATTCTTCTCTTGGAATGAAATTTTCTGAGAATTGCTCCGACAAGTTGCGCTTTCGTATAAAATCTATTAAAGACAAGATTGGAAAGAGAGAAAAAGAAAATAGATGTGTTATCTATATACGACAATTTTATTAAGGATTTTATTAAATATCTTATTGGAAAAATATAAGTAGACTTTTCACGTAGAGAAAGCTTTCACTTTGTTAGCAAATATAATTATCAAATAATAAACTTTATTTTATTAATATTTTTATTGTATAATTAATAGAAAATAATTGATGCAAATTAAATATAAATTAAATGAAGTGTTTATTCACGGATTATGTAGAATTATGTGGAGAATGTGCGAGGGCGGAATTTGCGCAAGTTCTTCGTTAATAATTTGCGATCGCTTTTTCTGACCTTTAATAAATATTGCAAAAACATTGAAAAATTTCTTTTTCATTTTTCAAGATATTCTAAGAAACCGTGTCAGAGTTAGATTCCTAGATAGATCAGAATTTTTCCAATCGACATTACTCGGATATTTCGAACGTTTTTCGGAAGAATAAAATACTAGAACTTGGATGTTTCATAACAGCTCCATTAATTAGATTTTGTACTAATTTTTGCATTAGTTCAGAAAACTGTTTACGTGCGACAGAATAATAAAGCACTCGATAGAATTCACACTTGAATAAAACACTTGATAGAATTTCTAGATTACTATGCGACAAATGTCTAATTAAAACGACTTTAATGACTTTCTTATTAAATCATTTCAATACATTGAACTGTGTACAAGTATGAAATAAGAGTGGATCGTGCAAGAATATCGGAGAGGCAATCGTTTTTTAAATGTCACATTTTCCAATAGACAATAGACCACTTTTCACGAGACACGCCTCGTCGGATAGATTAATTGATTTATTGAGCGAGAGAAAGACGCGCGCGGCGCAACATGTAGATCAGCGAACAACACACAGAGTTCACTCGCGAGTATATATTCATGAGTAATGTGTCGACACTGCTATCAACTCGATTCTTCGGATAAAATAGTTGTCGGCCGCGTTGGCACATTGTCGATTTTTCTCTGCAACGCACACCATCACGTTTCATCGAAAAGCGCTCTGTCACACTCTCCCTATATATTGAAAACACTGACTATTATAAATCGCCAACGGTACATTTATTTCGATCCGCTTCATCGCGGATCTGGAAAATCTATCTCACGGATGTTCCGTACACATACTTCCGCATCGGCGCGAACGCGAAAGTAATTGAAGGAACATCAGCGTTTCTGGTTCTCGATTGCGCGTTCGAGTTTACTATACGGAGGAGAAATGTGTAACAGGATTTAAATTTCAAATGCGAGTCCACGCGCCGCGTTTATTATTAGAACGGATTACGCTTTCTATTTGCGAAGTTTTCGACGCGGGATTTTTTTTTTTTTTTTTTTTTTTTTTTTTATAGAAAAAGCGTTTCCATGCTTATTTTCGTGAGATAAACCTACTTCGCGCTCTTGATGTACCGGAGATAAGGGGAGTATTTTTAGCTGAAATATTATTGCAATATTGAGGGATATATATCGCCTTAAAATATTTACTTTACCACCAACTCGGTTATTATTTTTTCGCATTTGAGGGGAATCGAGAACGTGATGATTCTCTTATTTTTGAAGAAGACACTCGTCTTTTGAAACAAAAATACGCATGTATTATGTCCGACGTTTCGTTTAACCACGCAGTTGGTATGAATGCGCATTCCAGGTATGCTCTCGCCCCGAACAGTCGTAAACTTATTACGTGTAACCGACGCACATGCATCTCATTATTACACGGACACGTGCGGTAAAAGCAGGTCAGGCCGATATTACGGACGTGCCGCAACCATACCAGGTAGATATCGCGATATCGGACGAGCATATCGTTATCGGTTAAATGCCAAGTTCAATCCGTGACATGACGGATCCGAATAAAAGATGATCGCCCGGACTTCCGTTTTCCTTGGAAAATTAGCACGGTACAGTAACTGTCGTGTGCGAATATCCAAAATCGATATTAATACCGTGATTCAAGTCACGAGTTATTACACAGTGACAGATTGTTATTTATAAAGATGTGCATATTTGTAAGATATAATATTAAGATATAAATATTATACATTTTATAAAGATTATTCAGATTTATGAAATTGTTCAGAGAGATCGGACGATGATAATCCGGAAATTTGTTTTTTCCTATTTATTTTTAAAAAATCTTTAATGTATGAATTTATGAATAGAGGGAATGGATTAAAAATATTATCATATATTTAATTTAATTATCTTGATTATATTAAATCGCATATTTTTGTATTTCGACCTTTGCTAGATTAGTTGACAGTATGTGGGTGATATTTTACTTAATTTATTTTCCTTCCGTGCATTATTCCTGCGCGATTTGCATCGCGCTGCGAAAATTTAACATTCGTATTTTCTCAGGATCGTAATTTTCCAAAGCGCCTCTGTGTCGCAAAACCACGATGATGGTTTAGAAATCTCCCTGACCTAAATAATTATAATACTGTTTACTTAGGTCAAAAAACTGATATGGTGACACGTAAAATAACGGAAAATTAAAAGAACATATTAATTCATATATGTTCATATCACGCGCAGCTGTATATTGTCGATCACACTCTGGTTAATTGGGATCCATAAGTCGAGATAAATCTCGCGAAACTTTTCCGTAATCGCATTACTTCCCCTCCTCATTGTCATTATGATATCAATTGTAATTACATGCCGGTGATTAATTTCTCATAGCGGCGGGAAAAACTCGAATGAAACGCGCGTCGATATGACGTTCGCGCCGTGATTTATTTTAATTGGATCTCTGCCTCGAAACGCAATCGATTATCTCGTCGCGCGACAAAACATTCGTCGTCGTGTGTACATATATATATATATATATATAGGTATATATTTAATATTGTATATTCGCGCGGATATTTTTCGACATCTGCTAATAAATCGACGAGCATTATTTTGATTCTCGCATATCCTCAATAGATTAACACACATCGACAAGATAATTTATCATCTTAACAATGAAAAAACGAAGCGGCGCGGAAAACGCTCATCCGATGTAATAATAAACACTGGCGAATGAATACTCGCGCCTTATTTATATCGCGACGTAAGCAATAAAGGCGTTCACGCAAAATAAAAGCCGTAAACCTCTCGGTGAGTGAATCTCTCTCTCTCACATACAGTCTTGCGTCAGCGTTTGCTATAAATTGCATAGCAAAGCGTCGTCGGATGAGATTCGATCGATGAAGCATTAATCCGATCTGTTTTCGTCCGAGCTCTCTGATCGAAAGGGAAAGATTTTCAGCCGGTTTCTTATTTACGAGAGAGAGGAGAGAAATTTTCGCGCGTGACGAGACAGAGCAGAGATTCGTCTCCCTTATATATCGGTGCCTTCGGCGAAGGTTTATTTTTACGTTCCTCGTAATTCTCGTAAAGAGCATCCGGAGCATCTGCACATAGCGGAGAAATGATTCGCCGCAGAGTTCGTCCCAGGCGAAATGCGGCCGCAAGGCGGAAAACGCGCGGCGGAGACGCCCTTGCGGATCCCGAAGGAAGTTGCGAAGTATATATACAATATATATATGTATCGAGATTTTCGCGACCCGGTATTCATAGATTCATACATCGTATATTTTCGTGCGCCCTGCTATACATATATATACATACATATATACACACGCGGAATGCGAGACAGACGTCGCGCCGGCGAATCGCGGTCCGGTTCGGCGCGTCGCGTCGCGACACGACGATGCGTTTCGCAATTACGAAGACAATGCGTTCTCCTCCTCGTTGGCTTGCTATTCCCATCGCCGTCCAGCGCTAAATTTGGTCCCGCAGTTCCTATCCCGTGCTCGCATTAGGCTTGTTAGACGAATGAAAAAGAGCAGGTGAATGAAAAAGGCTATCACGTTCATACGATACTCTTTTTATGAGTCATTCGATCTTTTTATAAAGATGCGTTTTTACTGAATCGGATTCCGATATATGGCGCGATCGATGAATAAACTAATTCTCACGTTCCAATTATTTGAACTTTTTATTCGATACTCTCGCCGAGGAAAAATCTAGAAAATTGTATATATGATTTCTAAAACGCTCTTCATAAATCCTTGACGTCTATTTGCCAATAATATATAGTAATATATAATGCAAATATATTTAATATATATATAAAATATATAGTAATATATAATAAAGTTGGCGCACGCATTAAAGTGCATCGTGTATATATACGGTCCATTAGTTTCACACTGAATTTTTCCGAATCGATAATTTCTTCTCGCTGTCATTCTACCAAGTGTACTTTTTTCTACCATTGTCGATCATACGTCCACGAAGCGATTAATTATTGCTCCTACTTACGCTAAAAATAATAGTGACCTCTTTCTCATGCGGAGTAGACCGAACAGCTGTGCTTCGCTATGCGACTGTCGTACAAGGTTTAAACAATCGATAAAAATTCGATATTTGGAGTACATCGATTTACCCGTTATCGTACGGGCGTGAGCATATATACATATACGGAAAGACGACGGAGAATTTGTTAAAAAATTGCAATACGTACTTAGAAAAATGAACACACGTGTAGAGTAGTTAATCATCTTTGACAGAGCAATTAGTATTTGTCTTTCTTAGTCATAAATCTCGAGAATCTTTCAAAATATATATACATAATTCAATGCTTCAAAGGTTTTAAATTAGCGAAGATCTCTCAAACCCAGATAAAGATCTGATTCCAAACAAACATTCATCTCGTTTTCTCTTATCATGTCACATTCGATTTATGAATGAAAAATATTTTCTTATTTATTCTAATAATTATTTTAAATAAATGACGAATAATAAATGCTTCCTTTTCCACTCGCCATGTACATACAGAGAACACATGATTTGCATTGCAGTGACACGAAATGAATCGAAGAGTAGGATACAGCAATTACGATGGCAAGATCGCCGGTCTGTACGACTTGGAGGAGACCCTCGGCCGCGGACACTTTGCCGTGGTGAAGCTGGCACGGCACGTTTTTACCGGTGAGAAGGTCGCAGTGAAGGTCATCGACAAGAGTAAGCTCGACGAAGTCTCCAGAGCGCATCTCTTCCAAGAGGTGAGAAAAATTGTCATATTTTTACGATTTTTTTTACCACTCTCTCGTATACCGCGCTTGTCAGCAAATATATTCCAAATTCTTCAGTCAATTTAAACTTTTTTTTTTTTTTTTTTTTTTTACAGAGAAGAACGCAGAAAATGTGTCTCTGCTAAAAATAACTAAATGTTAGAATGTAGAAACAGAGTTTATAGAAAACATGAATTTAAATTGTTTTTTTTCCTCAGCTGTTTTATCTCTTTTTTAAATATCTTTTATATAAGTCGCGTTGCGTTTGTATTTCAGATTAATTTTTTATCTCACATTTATTTCAAATCAAAGTACGACAGATAAAATTCAAATGGTTCTCGTGATTTATTTCTATTTTGCATAGTCAATCTGCAATCGCGTCAGAATTGCTTTCCGTCTCGAATCTATTTGATGCTTAATGGATATAGCAGAGTCATTGAGAGGACATCCTGATTCGCGTAATGTGATTTTAATGGCTGGTTCGATAATATAATCGGAGATCGAATAGTCTCGCGCAGTTACATCGTACGGACTTTATCGCGGCGAATCTCGTTAAGGTTAACGAGATATAATGATGCAACTGGACGGCTGACAGAATCGTTGACCCTCCGAATACAGATTCGCTCGGGCAAAACAAATTTTGTTCTTGTGAATTATGATCGCGAATAATCTGTGTCGCAGGTGCGGTGCATGAAACTGGTGCAGCATCCCAATGTAGTGCGGTTATACGAGGTGATAGACACGCAGACCAAGCTATACTTAATTCTCGAGCTCGGGGATGGCGGAGATCTCTACGATTACATCATGCGACACGACAGCGGCCTCAGCGAAGAGGTATTGTTACATGACGATTATTTATTGTCGTTATTGATTTTTATTTATTTAGAGAAAAAAGTACAAGTTTATAATAATGATACGTAAAGTTAATATATATTAAATAGTAATAATAATTAATTTGACAAGAACCTGCACATATTTGTGTACAAAATATATATCGATTAAGTAATTATAAAATTCTTCGTAATAATTTCCCAAGCGTAATAGTGTCTGATAATGGTTTTCATTTATCAGGTGGCCAGGACTTACTTTCGACAGATAGTTCGGGCCATATCGTACTGTCATCGCTTACACGTGGTACACAGGGATTTAAAGCCCGAGAATGTCGTATTCTTCGAAAAACTCGGCACGGTGAAACTCACGGACTTCGGATTCAGTAATAGATTCTGTCCTGGTCAGAAGCTCGAAACTTCGTGCGGCTCATTAGCGTACTCCGCTCCAGAGATACTTCTAGGTGATAGTTACGATGCCCCCGCAGTAGGTAAGCTCGTTAATTAATGTGATTAAAGATCCAAGAAGATGACTTAAGTTATTAAGACTTATTAAGAATTTTGAAGATGAAAAGATACAAGTTATATTTCTTCTATTAAAATTTTAATATTAAATTTTTTTTGTTAAAAGTTTTTTAAAAATCGACTTGATATTTAAAAGAAAAAAATTGAAATCTTATTTAAGCTACGTTTGTCGCTTTGTTGCAGATGTTTGGTCGTTGGGCGTAATATTATACATGTTAGTATGCGGCCAAGCACCGTTTCAAGAAGCGAACGACAGCGAAACGTTGACGATGATTATGGACTGTAAATATTCGATCCCGTCACACGTGTCCGACGGTTGCAAGCGGTTGATCGCGAAGATGCTCGTGCGGGAACCCGAAGGCAGAGCATCTCTCGAGGAGATCGCGGCGGATCCGTGGTTGGCGATCGGTTCCGATTCGGACACCATGGAGACGTTACCGCTCGTGTCGCGTCAACAGGTCTCTGACGATCATCATAATCACATAATTACCAAAATGGTTAACGGTAATATCGCCACCAAGGAAGAGATATTGGAGTGAGTAGACATTAGGAAGCCTTGCGCTGTTAGTATATATTTTAAGCATGCGTGTTCGCGTCGACGCGATTTGTTACTCGATAATTCTTACCGTGTATATTCTTGCAGCGCGCTAGACAAGAACGAATACAACCACATCACCGCGACGTATTTTTTGCTGGCGGAAAGGAAGTTGCGCGCTCATCGGCAGGAACAGATGCAGAAAACTCGACCGGAGGCTCTAGATGTTTCCTCGAAGTATGTTTTAAATACTGAATCACGCATTTGTTAGTATTGCTTCTACGTGTGACTCACATATAAAATATGCGAGTTCTAAATATTTATACCACGCGTCGACTTGAATGACATCACTAACATACTAATGTAACGTTGCTAATTTTGTGCAGTCGGCAGGATGAGCTGACAACAAATCTGCGAACAGATCAGAATTCCTTGGGCACTGTCAATCAATCGTTATTAAGCGTGCCACGAACGCCCGGTGATGTACCGCAGGTACGTATCGCATGCTCATTCCCTAAAATGCTTATTTCCTAAAATGACGTCAACTAATGTTATCGATCGTAACGTTTAAGGCAGATATATAAAATATCGTCTGCCGAATGGCACTCGAGAAACAAAGATGGATGTTTTTATTGCAGAACGTGCGTACGCGCAAATGCAGTATCGTCCAAGAGGAGGAAGACGAAGATGATGTATCTTCCTGTTCCGGCCGTGATGAGCGCGGCAGTAATTCGACGTTAAATTCCTTTAATCGGCGTGGTTCCCGTTCCGAGGGAAAGCTTTCGCATATCCTGCAGGAACGGTTATCACAACTTCCGGAGAAAACTGGCACAAAACCTGTGCAAGGTCAACGGCATTCGAATCAGAAAGAGGATACCGTTATCGCCGACAGAGGAGAAAGACTGAAGCAGAGTTCAAGAAACGAAAAGGATAATAAAAAATCATCGTCGCCGGTACACTCGAAGACGACGGCAAAGGTCCAAACGGGTAACGTTTTCTTAGAAAAGCTGCCCGCGTCACCGCGGATTACCACGACTTGCGAGGAAAATCTGAAGAATCGATTAAGTGACGCAAATACTCCAACCACAGGATGGTCTAGGAAAGCCAACAATGCGGAAGGCAGGCCCAAGTCGGTGACAGAATGTTTAAACCGGACTGCCGCATCTGTACCGACGAACAAATGGAGGATAGGTCCTCAACATCATCGGTTCAGCGTGCCGCTTACAGAGCCCACGATTTCCTCGAAAACTCCGTCCCAAGTCCCTACAAAAGCAACAGTGACGACTACTCTAATCGAATCGTCAACCGTATCGATACCTCTTCATCCGATTAGCGACAATCAAGTGACGTTAACGCCTAAATACAAGACGATGCCGTCTCCTGGCAGCGGTAATTCGTCTACAACGCAACTCAATGAAATCCTGGAAGACGGGGATGGCACGCAGGCGTCGGTAAATTCGACAGAATGCGGAGGTTCGACGACCAAGTGCCGTGTTGTGAGGCGAACGGCGGCGTACGAGCAACGGAGAAGCAAATTCCATAAGACGCGCACAACCTCCTGCTCGAGTTCCGACGCCAGCGACGACGACAGCGAAAGCAGAAAGAAGAGGGCGCACAAACTTGGCGCCTCCACTGGCAAACCCTTACCTCCAAGACGCGACAGTCACGACGACTCGAGCGACTCGCAGGATCCGGGAGGAAGCGGTGGCGGGCGAGGCGGGATGGTCGGCGGTGGAGGAAGCGGAGTGAGCAACGGCGAGCACACGACGACGACCGAAAGCAATCGAAACGACAATAGTAGCGGCACTAACACGACGAACACAAATACAACGACTGGAGGTGGGAGACATCGATGTACCGATAATCAGGTCATATTCGGCAGGAGACATCGCGCCGGTAGAAGAAGAGCCGGCGAGACTCGTTTACGAGAGAGCCAATCGTTGAATCGTATCACCGAGGTACAGGAGGCCGAGGCGCCTTTGTCCTGTCACAATCACTGTCACGTGTCGCGTAATTCAACCGTAATTGGCGCGACAAACATCTCGTCATCATCGTCATCATCGTCACAAAACAATATGACTTCCCAACACGGTGTTGTTCAGCCTGTCTCTCAAGTGGCAACCACGACGGTACAGAAGGCCAAAGGTCTCGGAGCGAGGCTATTGCAGAGCTGGTCGCTCGGCGGTGGAAAATTATCGCAAAACTCGAACAAACATTCTCACAGCCCCGATGGCAGAAATAATAATCATCGTCAGTCGGACAACTGTCAAACGATCGGCAACGACGATCATCGCGGAGAACATCACAAGTGCACCAGTCAGGCGTGCAACGACAAGGAGAATCGCAACGGCAATGGCTCGATGAATCGAAACGAGTGTAAAAACCGGAAGATTCGGCTGCTAAGCCGTTACTTCGCCATGCACAAGAAACTCTGCGTACCGTTGCCGGGCATCTTCGGCAAGGGACGCCTATACAAGGCTCGCTCGTGCGGCAGCATCACGCGCGATCGCGTGAATCCGCCTTCGCCCAAGTCGATGCTGTTTTGCTCTACAGCGGCGGCCGAGGACAAGTGGCGGGAGCGTCGTCAGTGGTGCGACGCCGCGACGAAGCAGCACCGCGGCAGCGACGGTGACATCAATCAGAATCTAGGTCTCGCGCATCTCGTGCAGGAGAGCATCGTGGGCAAGGGCTGCACTAAGCTGCCCGCCGTGTGCCACATCCATCTCGGGGACGCTTCCAAGTGTTGCAGTCTTTGTTGATGAATCGCTTACGCTCAGAGGAGACGGAAAACTCGAGCGCAAAAATGAGAGACGCAAAAGTGCGGGTAAGTGAGTTTTCAGTGCCAGTGACTATAGCTAAATAGCGTGAAACTTATTTTTTTGCGCGACAATCTTTTTCTGCAAACTGTGTATATAATTTTTAGTGAGTTATTTTATCGATATAGAAATATTTTTATCGTTTGAAAGATCTGATTTTCGGGGATTTTTTTTAGGGGGAGGGAGGGGGAATTTTTGAAACAGCATAGATGCCATATGTTTTGACATACTTTAAGATTAGTAGGCTAATTGCATTTCTAAGTGCAAAATCGGTGTCAGGTATGTTTGTATATAGAAACAACGTCAAAAGCAATTCAGGGTGCAAAATGTGTGTACTCGCAATTAATATTTTACTCCCTAAAAAAAAAAAAAGATATGATCTGTTCCTCTCGCTGATACCGAAATTACATTAAGTTAAGGACGCGCAATGCGATTAATATCTGCTCGTATGGTAACCTTTAATCGCGATGTATTACGTGGTTTTGGTCTGCCATCGATTTATTTGACTGATTACATCATATCCCCGCTGGTCTACAGAGCACAGGGATCAAGGTAAGAATAAGAGAAAGAAAGAGGGTGTACTGATTCATCGGTCACTCCGAGAGAGCTGCATCTAGTCCATGTGAACAAACAATGTATTAAATATTGCAGAGTTTATGATTATTATTATTATTATATTATTATTATTATTATTATTATTATATTATATATTATTACTATTATATTATTATCACTCTACACTATTCTAATATGCTCTATTACTATTATATCCGCTACTATTACTATTACAATTGCTATTATTATTGTGAGAGATCAGTATCACCTCCACGATTATCGCTATTGTCATCATCATCGCCGCGTCTTCATTATCCTTCTTTTCCCTATTTTTCTTCTAAGGCTGCGTTCCAAATATCATATAATGGATGTTCTTCCTCTCTCTATTTATATTACTTTTCTTTGAGTAATATAGAAAGAAAGAGGGAATGCATTCCTGGATGACGTTTTAGAACGCAGCCTAAATAGTGTAAAAATCTAATACGATATAATAATGCATAATGCATCGAAAAAGTAATTTGCATCATTTAGGTGCAACTTGCGATCGGGTACAAAGTCGCGCAGAGTGCGAATAGTGTCTTCCTCGTCGTATTTTTTTTTTCTTTTTCGATTCCTCCGTTTTCTCTCAAAAATACGACCCTTCGTCCTTCCCTACCCTCTATGACATTGCCTTCATACAAAGTCGCTTCCTAACTCGTTAACTTATTAAGTACGGAGTACAGATACCTATAGTTTCCGAATGGCGATTGACTATACATATATATATATATATATATATATATATATACATATATATATATATATTATATATATATATATATATATATATATATATATATATATTTATATAAATTAATGCAAATTGTAACCAAACAGAGAGAGAGAGAGAAAGAGATGCGAGTGCTCTACAACAGATAGCCTGAGATTGCGTTTAAACGAAGGGAATGATTAAGGAAAGAAACTCGCTCAACAGTGTTCGTGTATACAATAAGTCCGTTGAAAACGGAAACGGAAGTGTACTTCTTGGAGCAAGTTGTATGCGCGACGTATATAAAAGCCCACCGAGCGCATAATACTGCGCGCAAATATTAGAAGCTTAAGGGTAAGCGACGAGAGATAATAGCAATCGTCATTTATCGATCTATTCTCTTCTAGATCTAAATAATAATCGGCAGCGAACGATAGGTATATGCAAGATCTGTTTGGAACGTGCTTGCCGGTTAAGCACGTCTCGATCTTCGACGTTCTTCGATCTCGCGTCTATGGTCGCTTTTAGACGGATATCGTCGATATTAGTCATCGTCATCGTCTCTCTATCATCGTCATCATCGCGAATGCTGTCGGCTTAACTTAAAAAAAAAATAAATAAATAAAATAAATAAAGCCACGTTACAATCGTAAATATAAATATAATGCATGTGTTTGTTGTGCAGCGAAAACTTATTCGATCGTTTATCTACCACTTGTCCCGCGTTTCATCCTTTTCTTGCGCTTTTGCGCCAATTTTTACGAGTCTCGACGATGGAGTGCTGGACACTCGATAAATGCCGAAATATTTGTAATTAATTTCTTTCGAGTCCACGCATTTTTCAGCTTCCTCTCATTTTTGTATTAATATTATTAAGACGAAAATGTAATATGTATATGTATATGTATATATATATATATATATATATATATATATATATATATATATATATATAACTCGGATACATGTAAATGATATTAATTATTAATTATAAGGCGTAATTGTTGGACTCGTAACGCGGCGATCGATCGTCGAGCACTTTCCTTTCTTTTTAAACTTTATTTCTGTCTGAACTCGCAGAACAAAATAATGTGCGTCGATTTTATAACTCCTTTGATAAAGACTGAGAATTCCGCAATGACTTCAGTAATATATCTCGAGTGTTACAGCTCTATTTATGCGTCGCACGATGACGATGACCTAACGAGACCAAAAATGATAATTCACAGACCTAAGTTTGCGCTATAGCTACAAAGTGCAATACAAAGTCGTACAAAGCCAAGTACCTTGCGTCGGTGTAGTCGTTGATTTTAAGGATTCGATTCAATTTTATCTTTTTCACCCTATTGTAGGCGTCGTATTGTAACTCGGGATCTACTTTTTGAAGCTCGGAAAAACTAACAATCGCGGTGTACATGGGCATTAACGTTATTTCGGTGTGATGAGAGAGTATATCTCGAGGATGTTAGAGCGAATTTTAGGGTGTACAAGGACCTCTCTCTACCATTAATAATCGGACAAAGTTGTAAGCTACAAAAGAGAGAGAGAGAGAGAGAGAGAGAGAGAGAGAGAGAGAGAGAAATTATCTGTGCGAAGCTCAAGCAAAATTTCCTCATTAAGAGGTCACGCGCGGCTTGTGTCGGTCCTATATATTTATGTAATAAAAAGCGAAAGCGTCCCTCGCGCGAAACTCGAACAGTGTATATTCTGGAGCTGCAAATAGAGTAAAGTGTCTCTTCCATCAACGTAAAAAGTGTACATATCTTTGGCATTTTCCTATGTCTGTGGGAAAATTCATTTATTCTAGCCGAGCTACTGATAAATAAAAAAAAAGAGAGAGAAAGAATAAGATATTTTCGTGCTATAAAACGGAATGTGCTATAATGGATCCACGTACACACATACATATACACGACATACACATACACATATATATACATTGGGTTGGTTTCCTAAGGTATGCGATAATACGCACATAATATATGTATTAAAAAAGAAAACATATATGTCGCTAAAAAATGCAAGTTGACGTAATCACATCGAACGCATGTAATTCCGTTGCAAATCTCGGCTTCGTTGTTGTTGCGCTGTTCGTAAATCGTCCCTTTTTCCTCCTCACCACACAGATTTTTAGCGAATAAAAATCGCTGTCGAACGCGTTGCATCCACGAGTGCGAGAAAGAATCTTTTTAAGGATCTATTATACTTTATTTCACTCTTGTCCCGAATATCCGGCCTGAACAGACCAAAGTTCCCGCGTCATGTCCCCGTAGCATCTGATTCCCGTCATTATCCCGATTTACTGCCAGCTAAGAGTGTTAACGACGCACCACTTTGCTAAGCCGGCAATAAGATGAAATCTGTAAACCGCCAAGCATGATTGTTCATGCACTGTGTGCTCGGACAAAATAAACTAAAGTGACAAAGTTAACAACTACGTGAAATATCGTATCCTCCCGTCGTATACTATTTTTTTCAGTATATACATCTTCGTCGCCTCATCTTTTACGGACAAAAGGATAGAAGAAAGTAAGTAAAAAAAAGTAAGACTTACATGTATCATAAATTTTATATTTTTTTCAATTTTGTTCGTTAATAACATACAATGTAATATTAATCTCTGCTTATATATATATAGATTATTATGTATTTTTTTCTCTCTTTCAAAATAACACAACTACGTAGGTATCATCGTTATCATTTATCTGTTATCATCGTGCATAACGTTTCTATCATACTCTCATATATTCATCGTTACATAACGTTTGTATCAAAATAAAATTATCTACATATAGGCACTTGTTTAAAAGAAAAAGAAATATTTACAGCGATGAGCATGGATTACATTTGTAACTTTACGTATAAACTCTAGAATGCAGAATAGGCACCATATACAAATAAAATTATTTGTTAATCACTTATTTTCTAACAATACAAAAAAGTTCGAGCTGCCAATTAGCTTTGCATTAGCTGCACGAACGTCGCATCTACACGGAGAGAATTTTCCCTGAAAATCATGGTAATCGTGGGACAATATGGTATTGGAAGAATCTTATAAGAATTTCTCTGATTAATATTTACCACAATAAAAAAATATTAATATGTACATACTAAAGTTTACATAGTAAAATTTACTATGTACATAGTAAAATTAATCGAACATCTTTTATATCTTATTGTCTTAGATTACCATGATTTTCAGGGTAAATTCCAAGAGAAAATTCTCTCTGTGCATCTCTCAGCTAACATTAGATATATAGAAATACATACGCTCTTTGTCATATAAAAAATATTTTTAGGAGTAGGAACTTCGAAAAAATATATAGAGAATAGATCATAATATTTTTTCGTAAAGTAATCAGTCCGTCAAATCGATCATTGGAATGATCATTTGTGTGCAACACTGCGCTTCGTTGGTATGGAACGACTTCGGTAACTATGTTATACTAACAGAGAAGACAGCTGGTGCGCATATAAGAAAATTCTTCGAAGAAAGAGATTTCGTAATCATCTTCCGAGAAGATCATTGGAATTATCCAATACTATTTACGCAATATTTCGGCGTAATTTCCATGCTGATAAATATTATATTTAGCATTGGTCTTATAACATGGAATTTTAACGCGATGCATTTTGTTGCTTTCCACAGCAACATCCATTTAAACTTGAATTATTCTTGTTACGCAGCCGCGGATCCTTGTTCGAGCTCTCTCAAAGCTTTTTTACTGTTCTCCACGAATTCCTAAAAAAAGAATTGTTATTCACAAATAACTAGAGAGACCTACTAAAGAATATATGTGCTGCTGCAAGATAATATAATAATACGCACCATTAAACCGCGGCTCATGAAATAAGGTCGGCTGATGCCGTCGTTCTTTTCGCAATCTTCGCAGAAGCACAAGAATATGGTATCGATGATCATCTGTAAAGAAATAGTTTTTTCATAGAGATTATTTAAATATTTATTTCATGATATATAAGAGGTATTTTTTATACAATTATTTACCTCGTAAATAGATATAAAGCAATGCGCGACCAGGAATGCAAATATTCCCGCGAGAGTGATTGGAATCCAAGGATGATTAAGTCCTTCCTTTTTCTGCGAAATTAAAATATTTAATAAGACATTTTTGGAAGAATAGAATAGAATAGAAGAATAGAATTTACTTATACCTGCATCAAATAAATCCCTGAGATGACTGTGAGGGTGACGACGAGGACTTTTCCCAGAAATAGAACAAAGTCACCGACACTATTAATCGCTGCTACTCGCAAAATGTTGCTGGACAAAGCTTGAAAAGCCTTTCTTCCGCCCGTGCAAAAGTTGCATCCGTATATGGCTGAAAGAATATTATTTTTTATGAATATATATTAACAAAAATACAAAAATATTTTATGAATTTTATTCTGCAATTATGTCACTATTCGTAAAAATGATAACAGCTTTCTATCGAAAAGATAAAAATCTCTAACTAAATAATCGACAATGAAATGTATCGCGATTACCTGTTTCGATGTATGCATTCCTAGTGAGGAATTTTAGAGCACACTCGAAGCACCAGAGACAACATTGACAACACCATATTATTCCTTTTACGACAGCATTGTCATATTGCTTCAGGTGGTTTTGAACGAAGGAAATCATGGCTCTGATTAATCGAACAATACCTATTATCAAAGCCCCGAAAGCAACTGTGCCCATGTGATATCTTATAAGATATCCGAAGCCTTTTACCACCGGTAAAGAAAGACGTCTTTTGTCCCTGTTAAAATATAATTTTTGGTCAATTTTCTATTGTATGATATTACAGTAATTTTGATGGATTAAATATCGTGTATCAACAAGATGTATAATAGAAAATATTTATAAGAAATAGAGTAATATTACATAAAAGAGAATTAAAAAGAAATAGATGAACTATCTAACATCATTAAAATTGACACAACGAGATATTTCTGTGATTATTAGTCAAATAATGTGGTAAGCGGACAAATTTTAATTTTTTTTATATATATAATTGCAAATAATGGGCTTTCCACTATATTGTCTGATCTTTATTATTTTTGATTATTATTACCAAGCATCTCACCTCGTGAAAAACCATCGAGCAACGGCGCAAGCGACGACCATATGTTGGCAGCCCAGGTAAAATTCGCACGCCACAAAAAATAGGAACAGATTGTACCATCTCGTCGCCTAAATGAATTTCACTTATTAAAATAATATGCTTTTATCGCAGTCTGGACGCGACAAGAAGTGATAAAAATCAACAATACGTACAATGAGTAACGCGTCCTTCTTAAAATGCACGTGATTCTTCTTATTCAAGTAAATGTCACCGGCGCTCTCGATCCATAGCATACAGTAAATCCATGCCACCACGGTGAATCCGATGAACAGATACGTCTGTAAATAAACGAGAATAAACCGCATTTGTGCGAGTCCGATTCGTTGACATGAAACGACGATATGAGACACTGATGTAATCATTGATAATAATTGAATGGAGATATATGCTCACATAAATCGGCTGAAACAGCAACGCCGGCATCGCGCACACGGCTTTACCCGCCTCCCGGAAGAGTTGCATGACCAGTTCGATTCTCTTTCTCATTACCAGAATCACTAATAGAACGATAACCTACGGATATAGATATATATGGTATACATCTGTATATATAATATATGAATATATATTGTGCGCGCGTGTGCGAAATGTTCACAAAGTTTGCGTGCTTCTCTTACAGTAACGACCGACATAATGATAGCGTAGATGAAGTAAGGCTGCAGGCTAGAATCCTCCGGGTCAATCTCTTGTCTGTCCAGGCTCTTCTTCTCTTGATACCACGCTAACCTATATTATAGACAGGATTAAACTTAATCGTAATTGTGCTAGTTGATTGTAGTAATTTAGATATTCTATTTATATATAAAAATTTCCAATAAATTTTAAATAATTTCTCAAAGATTTTATGTGCGATTTTAATTTCAATTTTAATTTTAATTTTAATTTAATCTTCGATTTTGAAATAATTCCCTTTACCAGAGATACGTTGTGCCACCGATACATGCCAAAACTGCGCCGATCAATACGATATAGATGACGTATTGTACCATATAGCGGAAAGCCACCAGGATACCGAGAGAAAGTGCTAAAAAATTGTCGATCGTAATCAATCACTCAAAATTCCTATTTTATGTCACTCGAAAACGATATAAGAATTTATTCCCGAAATTTAATTCACAAAAATTACATTCTCGATAGAATGAAAAAGTTATACTGTTAACGCGGAAGAAAATATTGAAATTTTTCAGATTTTTATTACACTATAAATTGCTTGGAATATTTTCAATAAAACGTTCGATTTAATTGGAAGTTTTCACTAATATAATTCTGAAACGATTGTATTTCTGGAATACATACCCAAAGATATCAGTAAAAGATAAATCAATTCGTGCCATGCAATTCCCAAATCGGTGACTGCGTCCTAAAAATAATATAAATTATTATTAATTGTTTATTATATGTTTGGCTAACTAAGAACAATTATATAATTACACTTTATTTTATTTTAACTATAATTAACATCAGTTCCATTTATTCTACAATTTTTAATATATTTTAAAAGAGCATTATGTAAAAGCAGTTAATTTTTTTAAGCAAAAATTAATTTAAATAAGTTTTATTCAAGTATGATGTGCTCATCAAAATAGACTATTTTTCTTGACTGACTACTTTAAAATAAAGTTTAATAATTTTTCGAGCCTGGTAGATAACTCTTTCTTAGAGAATAAACGCGCATTTTCTCTCGTTTTTCAGTCAATAATATGAGAGGAAAGAAATGTATCGATTTTTGATATAAGGAAACAGAATAAGATAATATAACATGAGAAATATATTTTCGATGAGTGCCATCTCTTATCGATGAAACTGCGCAGAAATATGATCTGAAAATATCTATGAGAGACGTTGACGAGAAATATATACAATTGTGCATATTCCTTTAAAGCTCAAAATTGGTTTCCAGCAAAAAAAAAGTTGATGCTTTTTATTTAAATACAGTGATAATTATAGACAATTTTCTCAATTTACGATTACTTACATTGTAAAAACTGTCCAAACGAAGAGTCCTTATTAAAGAGCTAATAGTGTCCGACACTTTCTTGTGTAGACAACGATTCAGGAATCTACGAGATAGAAATAAAACTTTGTATCGAAGAAAATAAAAAATGAAACGATCAAATTTGGATATTTGATATCTCTTGCATTCTGCGAATTAGTAATCACTTTATCATATAATACTAACTTGAATTCATTTGGAGTGCAATTTGTGACGCATGTACGTTTCTTCACTCCTGTCGATTCGATATCAATGTCGAGATACCTAAATAGACGTGGATCTAAGTTATTAACAAAGACAAACAATTTGTATGATTTTTCGAAAGCGTAATAGTTTGACAGATAACAGATAAATTGTCAAATCATCGCGAGTATATGTTTAGAATAAACTATACATCACAAGGCATTTTAGTTTTTTGTGGTTTTTTTTTGCTTGACTGATCTTATTAAAGATCTAATATTAAAGACTTTGTTTAACTAATTTGTTAATTAACTTGTTATTTGTTTATGTATATATAATTAATTAAGAAAATATGTTATCTCGGATTTTGTATAATTCTTGGCTCTGCTATGCATGCACGAATTATAAAGAAACGTGATTTTGGAGTAACACAAAAAATGTACTCACGGTTTTTTGGTGTAATCACCACCTTTGCCGTGAAATTTGGGATCGCTTTCGAACGAGGTTACGCGACCGCAAACGTTTCCCCAATCGTCATATCCATTTATCACGCGGTAAATGTCACCTTTCTTTGCCACGTTCGTCATCATGAAGATCTGTGCGCGCGAACCACAAAACGATATTTAGCAAACAACATATTGATTTATGATGCAAAGAAATAAAATAGTGTCACTTACGAAACCACCCACGAGAATAAGTAGAACAATTAGAGCTAAAATGTCGGTACATGATCGATCCTTCACGAAGATCTTTTCCGAATAACTCGTCGGCGAACCTTGATCAGGTGTCTAAAAGAGTAGAATTATAATTAAAAATAACCAAAATAAATTATTGAAGGCATTTCATTTTTGTGTATATATACAAGAACATTAAAATTAATTAGAACGCATATATTATTATAAAATCAAATTAGATTAATTAGTTGAATGAATGAGACTAATTATTATGAGAGCTAATTTAAAAGGTTCAAGTTACTTTGTTTGGATGATTTAAAGTAACAGTGATTTTCGACGCGAAAGCACGATACATTTAATAAATATTTGTATAATTTTTAATATGTGTGAGAGCAAATGTTTACCGTGGGTTCCACTTTACGCGAAGGCTCATCCCCACAACCGCAGCAAACCATCTCTAATATCGTCGAGTCCTTTAGCAGCGGCTCCAAACAGTGACTTAAACAGCCACGCTTGTCTTCCTGATCACTCTCTGACAAGTTTACCGCTTCCGATGTGCCAGCTTTAAAAATACAAACATCGCAGATATGATTATCAGTTTATTATTGTTGACGTCAGCAAATCCTCAAAGATGACCAACCTGAAGTATTAGCTTACAAGACGTGCGATACACGTGCAAATATAAATAATAGTACAAGATAATCCTTTTTAAATGTGAGAAAACTAAAAAAGAGAGATTTGTTGTATCTGTGTTCCGATGTTAAAATAACTCAAGTGAGTTTAAAATAGCGATATCCCCCTGAATTTGCGTTGAAAACTAGTTGAAGCAGAAATATTCGATATACTTCCTTTCAGAATTCCACCGAAAATTTAGTAGGAATTTCTATTAATTTAATTATTGACGATTGAAGAATCAATCGTCATTAAGAACACGCGTTTTGGCTTGTGTATTTTGCTACGATATATATAGAAATGCACGATAATTGAGGATGTGACTGCGATTCGATGACGATTGCCATCGCTGCTTTCCGGGAGGCACTCTCTGAAAGAAACCTGGGTCACGCTCTGATCGATCGATTAATAATCGCCTAGAAAATTGCATGGTTGGATATTGTTGTCGCAACGCCGATCAGAAATATATATCATCCATGGTAACATAGGCGAAACATAATTACGCTGTCATTCGGAGAGATAAAACCTCGAGAAATTATTTAATACATTAAAAGTGTTTTTTATCAACTTGTAAGAAATGAATAAGTGACCTTAATTGATTCGTATCAAAATGAGAAATAAAAATAATTATTATTTATAGACCAAAATTTAATGTGAATGACATTTATAGGTCAATAAATTGCACTTCCAATTATTCTAAAAACATTCCAAAACTTTCCAAAAACATAATAAATCTTAATCAAAAGATTTATAATACAATAATGAAATCTTTTGTAGATCATAAATCTATAAAGTGTGTACATTTGGTACATTGTAAGATATATATTGTATATTGTATAAAGAAGAAGATATGCGTGTATAGGATTTATTTGTTGAAAATAGCTTTTGTACCGTGACGGAGAATTTATAACAATTACTGAAGATATACTATGGAAAAGTCACACGAATATATACACATGTATATATTGAGTGCAGTAGGTTAATGTTACTTTCGTGTTGCAGTAAGAAAGAAACACGAGGGAAGTTTTATCAGGCGTATATAAAGGCGTAAGAAAGCTTTAGTCACGCGGTACATAGTGTTGAGTGACAATCATGGATATGGCTTATCGCTCAATTGAAGACATTACAATTACTCCATTAGTCCCCATTAATCTTGTACCGCGATATTTTAAACAAAATCACCATCGTTTTCAGCATATCGCAATATATTTTTATTAAAATGCAAATGTTAATTATACATCAATTTATTTTTTGTATAAAAAGTTTATACAAAACGGTTATTTTTAATTAATTTTGTATAAAAATTGTCCCATGAAATCGGATTAAAATTTAATCCCTCGTTGGATTATAATCATCGGAACGCTCAATCAAAAATCGACGCGATCGCGAACGAATTAAACTTTAACGCGTCTGGTTCGCGATATAATCAAATTGTTCCTCCATGTGTGCACACCGTCGCAAGAAATATTCGTTAGAGCGTAGATATAAGATGGATTAACGCTTTCCTGACCCGGTCGATATCACTCGGTATCGAGTGTGATGAGAGACGTGAACATTGTCAGCAATTTCGCTTGTTTCAGAATTATTTATCTGGAAATAGCGATGATAACGTTTAATCGTCACGAGTTATATCGTGCACGATGCAAATAATCAGCGATTATTATTATCATAAATGATACGTTCGACGTTAATATATGTGCATAAGAATCAATATTATGTGTATTATTTTTTTATTATTTTACATACGTCTTGACTTTCTCTTTCTGTCTCTCCCCTAGTTTAAAGTGCCATGTTATTGTACTAGATTATCGATTTTTAAATTAAGTATAGGTACGCGTGTATATATAGTGCAATGACTCGTAACCCGATTAATCCATAATTCTAACTTTCCGAACTGCTCTTCTGAAAAATGAGTCGTTCATCATGCCATTTTTTATCGTAATTACCCGCGATTAACGTCTGAGAATTCTACTCATCTCCTAATCCAACATTTCGAATTTGTGCTGTTTCAAATCCACATATACGCTCTATTTAACTTATTGTTAAATTTAAATGTAAAGAGAGAGAGGGGGCTTAAAGCTAATATTAGATGGCTTAGATTGCCACACGTATACGTGCATGCATTATGTATGATTTATCAACAGAGTTACCCCACTAGTAACACATCTCAATGAAGTCATAGTGTTTACGCACTTGTAAAGAGAGACACGGCAATCAGAATTTGTCGATATAAGGACTCGCTAACCGCTTTGGCATTGCAAATGATTTTCGCGCTGGTGTTTTGCCAGCCTTGCGATCTATTTTCGCGTATCCGAAGGCATTACCCGTAGATTCAGCGGAGTTTCGCGCAAAGTTATGAAAGACGTATTTCTTGGAAACTTACGGGGGCATCAGAGGCGACGTATACCTTTTCAATGAAACTTGGATGAAAAGCCTCCGAAGAGGAGGGAGTTGTACGTATTTTCCCGAGGAAAATTTTCGAGGCAAGAAGTTGCGAATTTTTCCTACGGATCAACACTCAGCCGGTGACTGGATACGTAATCCCGTTCATAGATCGTCATGCGAAAAATAGAGAAACTTAGCCTCGGGAAGATGACGTTCCACCGTCTGCGAAATTTTTCACACGTTCACGACAATGAAGAATTGTCGTGTGTTGTCCGAAACAATGTACACGCAATAAAAAGATGACTAAATGACGAATTAGAGCGAGCCTTGCGCTAATTATACACTTGTACAAATACAGAAGAAGAATCGTGAGTCACACATCTGAGAAACCCATTAAAAGTGTAATTACGCATATCAACAGCACAATGCACACAATTATGCTTCTGATTTTAGTTAATATTAATTTTAGTTTAATTATATCCATTTGTCTATATAATGAATAATTACCTATATTTATTTGGTGTCACCAAATAATTATTTCAGCGTAATTTATTTTTCTTGCGTTATATGGATTTTATTTCACACTGTTATATTTAATTATTTAATTCACACTATTAATTTTTATCGCACTTTTGCTGGTTGAATTCGATTAATATATGTACATTGCAAATAACACGATTACAATCAATTACACAGACAGACCGACACGCAAGGTCCAAGTAGAATAAAGGCATGTCTACTTATTCGCGCGACTTCTCTCCCTCTCCGAGCTCAAGTACTTCTTCAATGACAAGCTCGTCCGACGATATCATTACAAAAGAAAGTTCCGTTCGTCGTAATGATAAACTAATGAAAACACGATAACGCGAAACACTGTGTCGAAACAATATCTACCATGTAGGTATAACTCGATTCGACGATATCTACGAATTGCAACCCTTCATTGTGTTCTCAAGACTTCTCGCGTACGCACGTTTTCACTGAAATTAGGCATTTGCAAATCTCAAACGCGTGTTCGAAAGATCGGAAGATAAATAACGAGTCGTCTTTACGATATCAAATAAATGGAGAGCAAACAAAATTAGCTTTGAACTTTTAACCGTCAGCTGCGATGCACGAGACAAGATATGCATTCGTCTAACTTTCTACCTGATGTGTAGAATAGTTTTCATGGGCCAAAGAAAAGTATCTGGACGAAATGTTATACCGAGGGATACCGAAACGAACCGACTAGGTCCGACTTGCTCGCAACTTCTCTTTGTCCCTGGTCTTTCATCCGCCTCTCTGTCCCAGTTGACAATATACATATTTTCTAGGTGCAGGTATATTTTTAGATTCCAGGCTCTCTGAGGTTTAGTTTAGATCTATTTTTCCAAAGTTTAATGTCGGAAATGCATGCATAAGTATCGTCCATCAATGCCACGCTTATGAATTATTTATGTCAAGCATGTCTGCTTAATCGAGAGATATATCTAATCTTGTTTCAATTATGTAAGTTCCAACGAATAATGTAAACTCGCGTTGTTATCCTAACAATGTGGAGATCGTTAGCTTTGAATGGATGCAAATTGTCAGATGATATACCTACGTGAATCGCCCGGGCTTCTTTTTACGTCGGTTATTTCTTTACAATGATTTATGAATAGACTCTCGGATATGCATAAATCCAACGCAGCTGGTGATTTCAAAAATTACTCTCGGTTCCAGTACTTAACTTTGTCAATTTCACCGGAGCTTTCATAACGAACTATCTCACAATGGAATAATAACGACCGGCTATGTGCAGAATTCTCGCGTAGGTGCGAAATTATTGCTCCCGGAATTACGCAAGAAGCTCGTTGCCCACTAACGATATATTAGGCTTAAAAGTTAAATCGTTCTACAGTTATGCGTATAACTCTCCGAAATGGAGCAAATTACTGAATAACAGATTATATCGATCTATCTCTATCCATGAGATATACTATCATCTAATAAAGTCGGAAATTTTACGGATTTATCTAAGCCTAATAATTGCAATTGATGTAATAAAATGATAAAGATGATAAACGCAGATGTATTTATCACTGAGAAGATAAAAAGAATGAAATAGAGAGAGAAAACACCATCTCTCGTCCCGTGAATTTTTACTTTTACACTTATTAAATATAAATTTATTGAAATATTCACTCTCATCATTAGACATTGAATGATTTTAAACTTTTATTATTCTCTCAGCGTTACATAACGTTCAAAAAAATAGCTTTTCATTTGACGTATGAAAGACGGACATACTCAGTCTCAAGTTTAACCTCGACGGAAACAATAGTAATATGTAAGGATTATTAGCAACGTAAATGGATGTAGGTCGTACCTTGATGAGGATTTCTCGCAGCGTCATTCACACATTATGATAATTTTACATTTGTCGCTCTTCAATTATTCATGAAGCTCGCTCTAGCAAGGGATCTCTTTTAGCTTTCTCCTTCGCTAAAACTTTTAAATCATTCTTCTCATGATCCGTTCTTGAAATTACTGCGATCCTCTGTATTTTGCAAGTGAAAATAGGTATACGGCGAGCAACAAGAATATCTTTATACTAAACGGAGAACACACACTGCATATCTTTGTCCTGGCGCATCATTCGAACTCGTGTAACCTCTGAGTTACGATCGATGTACTATCAACACAGCTACCTGAAGATAGCGCAGTTATTTGCCCGATTTGATACATATGTATGTATGTACCATACGTTTCCGTAGAGGTATAAAAAGAAATGCAATTTTGTTTCGTACAAGATCTCATAAAGACACAACATCGATATCTTATATGAAATATACGATGAATTTTGCATTTTATTCACCAGCGTATCATTTCATATCCGTTTAATATTAATAAGGACAAAATTTATCTATTTATAAATGATTAATCAAAATTATTAATCACTCAAAAAAATATTTCGCCGGTTTTTCTGTATCTGTTAAAACTGTTGTTTGTCACGTATAGAATTTATAGCAGGAATATATATTCTGTCTCTGTTACTTAGGCAAATTAAGTAAATTACATATGCAATATTAAAATACTTGTCAATTACTTAGCTGTTTTAGTTACTTTTTTATACCTAGAAAATTTTTGCTGTACTTGCAATATCATTTTTTTGAGTGATCATTAATTATGAATTAATAAATTTCGCGGCAACAAGATACGTCGAACGGGAATAAAATAGATTCTATACACAAAAAAGAGATGTGAAAAATAGAATTTAAATACTTGAAGTAGGACTGCTTCATTTCCGATTAAGGCTCTTTGTTTTTCCTCGCATGATTCACCGACCTTCGCGTATTCTCGATTCATTGTTCACGTTCGTTGAGCGCGGTTCGTTGAGACTTCAATTAAAATGCAGAAAAGGTAACAAATCATGTGCTCTATGAGTTAGGAATTTGCACGCGCAACATATAACATTAATCTGCGTTAATATGCATACGTAATTAATCGGCGTAAATTAAATGATTTTGCATGCAATTATTAGCTCTCGCCGGTAAATTCAAAGTCCGCGGGATAGAGCCGTTTGTGTGAAGCACATTTGAGGATATAACAACGCGGTATTATCGTATTTTGTTTATAACACAATTACTTGTTGCGTTATAATTATTGAAATTATAATTGGTCCACTTTATTTCAACTTCGCTAATGGCTCTTCGGAGAATCGCATTAAGTTAACTGATGTACACAAGCACCAAGTGGTGCTTTAATATTGACGTGACACACACACACACACACACAGAGGAAACACTATTATTGTTATTATTATTAAGACGCATTACCGTCGTCCTGTTTGGTTTTTTCTTAATTAGATGCATCGCGTGGCACATTTGTCATCGTAAGCATATCACCTCATTCATCGTATGCACATCACCCATATGCATCCAAGAATTTGCACGTGTGCACCTGCGACCGTAATCCGCACTTAAGGATATGGGAACTCGTTCGATTTTTTTTTCTGAAGATGCAAAAAATATGTTTACTCGTCTAATTGTTCCACGGGAGAGAATATCGATATTTACTCGAATGGTCCGATATAAATGATCAGTGTTGACAAATATCGAAGAATTGTTGAATATCGAAAGTAATGAAGAGGCGACTTCGTGATCCGCAAAATATGTATATCCCGCGCGTTGTCAATAAATATTGACAATTCAGGTCACCGTTTCACATTATTATTATGATGAAATGACTGAACAAACTTTCTCGGAGCCATATATCTCCTCGTTGACGTGAATTGAATAACAATAAATGTGTGTAGAAATTGACATCCACTTATAATGCGCGTGTCGACGATGAACAACATCGGTGCTCGCATATGTTTTAAGCGATACGATAATGTTGTGCGAAGAACATACGGCAAAAAGACGCCGTTGCATATTATTCGCAAAGCGGAAAAAAGATCTCCATCGTTATGCAACTAAACCGTAACCATCGCAATCTCCGTAACGATCGTGACACACCTGTAGGCGCAGCTTGGAACGGACGAAGGGAAAAAACCGTGCGAAGACTTGGAGCGTGGAAATAGCAATAATAATTCCGAGCGACGCGACGTCATCCGAACAGCTCGTCTGCTGTTTCCTGCTCCGATATCAGCTGACGCCTTATCGTGATCCAAGGCAAAAATGACAAGACTAATTTCGCTCTTTCTCTAAATCATCAAACAATCCCCTATAATCTCTAGATTAGATTACAACAACAAGCATGGCGACGTATAAACCAGTATAAACCGTTAGCATTCCAGGAAAAGGAACGGCAGGCGAAAACGCCATTATCGTGCCTCCTGAAGCGGATCGGTTCTCCATCCAAGGTCTCGACGTGCTACAAGTCGCGAGGCTGCATCGCATCATCGATGACTGTGCACCGAATCGATGTATCGAACCGATTTAAAGCTTAGGGGACCTACCTCTCTCGGCTCAGTCTTCCCGGACCTTTGGAGACTGCGTCTGAGGAACTTTCTCTCCGACGAGATCACACTTGGTACAATCTATACGCGAAGACGAATGAAGAAGGAACGTTCGTGCGAGCCATAGCTCGAGGAAGTCGAAAGTGAACTCCGGTTTTTTGCTGCGACGCCGCGCGACTCGCGACTCGTCAGCTCGCGCACTCGAGCTCGAGCACAACACTGCACTATACGGACTACGGTTGCCGACTCGGTGTGATTACCAGTGGGGTCTGGTCTGGAGAACGGACTCTCTTGTGCGGCCGACTGGTTAACGATACTCACAGCCGTGCAGTCATGCTTCATTCTTCGTTCACCGCACTCGCTCTTTCTCTCGCACGCTCGCACGTTTTCCTCCCACTTTTACGCACACTCTTCTCCCACGTACTCTTCTTCCTCCCCTCCTGGTCTCTCTTTCAGTCGGTCTCTTTGTCGTGCCTCGTCTATTCGTCACGCACACATTCTCTCATTCTGTCTTTCTCGTTCGCCTGACTTGACCTTTCTGACTTTGCTCTCTCTGCCTAACATCTCCAGCTGCGTCTCTATTCTCTGGTTATATCGTCGTCTGAATCTCGCTGGTGTATCTCCTTCGGGTCGAGTTTACGAATTATCCGCGACGCTCGAGTCGAGTTTCGGCTTCATCATCAAGGTCCTCGTGATATAAACGCTAACGAGTATGTTGCGCTAATCACCGCGATAACTTTGTTAAGCAACTTGTCGAGGGCAATTTCGGGTATTGCGCGATACCTTATCAATTTCTGGCCGACGTAAACGACTTATGGTACGCGCACAGCTTGTTAATTGTTCGCCCTGTAATTTCGGCTTGTGTTCGTGGATGCGAGCAAATTACGCGGCGTCACACAATTTTCATCAAATCTTTCTCTCCTTCTTCCTTTTTTCTTTCTAGTCTTTGACAGGATAACGACGGATCTCCGCCTAGTTACGTTCTCCAGCGATTCAAAGCGGATTAATAAGATCTTGCGCAATGGTCCAAAGTAACTATCGTTTCTTTTTATGTGAGATTTTAATCTCTCCTCGAAGAAATTGGAGTTGACTTTTGCCGGGCAAAAATCAGCCGGGCAAGAACTTATAATTACAGAACTATTTACCACTGAGAAGTTAAAGATTCTAGGTCTTTGCGAGAAAGAAAGAGAGAGAGAGAGAGTGTGTGTGTGTGTGTGTGTGTAAATAGATAATAGAACTTTATCTGTTGGTTAAATTTAAGCGGATCTTATTCAAAATTTTATTCGAGAGAGATTTTTAATAGAGTTAAAATATTCCTCTAGACATATTTCTTTTTAATTGCAAAAAATCGCCGATTATTGCTCCGTCAATTTTCCATCGAGGAGAAAATCAATTCCCGAGAGAGAACCGACGTCGCTGAACTCTCGTCATTATATTTTTATGCTGCGCTAGCAGTGGACAGTACGTTGTAATGTCGCGCATTAAACATGTCGTGCGTGTCAAGCGTCGTTTTGAGAGAGATTTGTATGCGTATGCACTCTCTACATATGCATGTATATTATATATACAGTCTATACACCCGCAGGAACATGCAAACATTCGCTATATATATGCGCGTAATTGGAATAGGCAAATAATAAAAAAGCAACGGGGTGTACAGTATCAACCAGTGTTTTTCTCCGTTAAACATTTGTCTTGTTGTTACATAATATCATTGTATTCGCACGTATATACCTACGTATAATTATCCAACGCGTTGTGCTGAAATCCAAGCATTCCCCCGAACTTCCCGCGCGTTTCCCTTTCGTTTAATATCGGTTTAAACGAGGCCATCGAGTGCATTTCAGCAAGAGCGAGCTCTCCGGCGAGCTCTTTGCGCGCTAATAAAATATAACGATTCTCAGCTCGCTCGCACTTTCTCGCTTCGCGAGAAGAAACGAATGCTCTCTCTGTATCGTTGGCTCCGACCGGGAGAGTGCCTTTGAAATTCCGCGGAATTGTCCGCGGAA